TCTCCTCCTGCGGCCCAGGCAGATGCGCCGTCGCCACGCACCCGCACCCGCCTCTAGCCAGCGGGGTGGCGCTGGGGGGCGAGTGGGGCAGCCTTGAAGTACCTACCAAGGCAAAAACTAACAATAAAGGTGCTTAAGTCCTTTTTTTCTTTTGGCTGGCACTTGCACGCACCCTCGTTTTTGAGCCAGTATAAGGTACTGCAAGGTAAATGGGCCAAGCATGCTACACAAACCTTTAAAAAAATAATAGAAAAATGTTAGGTCACTTAGAGGAATTCCCTGCCCTCAGCGTTACTGCAAAATCCTGTTTAATTTGCAGTGTGCTTTACACTCTCTTGCAGGTGCTAAGAAGACAGCAAGAAAAAAAAAAAACCTCGGTCACAAATCATTCTCTGCGATTCAAAATGGAAGCTCGCAGCCCCGCATCTGTCCTCACGTGGAGCTCGCGGGCCCCCGTTACCTGGAGGTACCCCCGGCATGCTGCAGAACAGCACAGCCGTCTGCTGGAGCCCTGTTTTTAGGGTGAGGAGGGGGTGCGTTTCAGAACGATACCCTCTGGAAGAAGGGGGAGCTGTGAGGCCGGCCGTAAGCAATGGCCAACTTGCTTTTGCTGCTTTCTCAACCCATCAGGACCTCACCAGCTATCCGTTTTTCAGCCAGCCTGGCAGGGAGCACTCACAGCCCCTGTGGCCCTTTCTCCATTTGCGCTCACCTCCCCTTTCCACCTATGGCTCAGAACTTCCACCCAGGAAGAGGATATTCCGGAAATGGCGATATTCATCGGTACCAGCAGGGATGGATTTCCCAAAATCAGGGTGGGCAGGTAAGAGAACGAGCGTTTTCCTCACTGCCTGCAATTCAGTCTAGTGTTTTGTACTTTTTCACCTTCGCAGCTGAAATGTTGCAGCCACCGCAAGCTCTCTGACCAGAGGAAAAGCGGTTCAAGAGAGGATGTGTTCCCCACCGCCTCGTCCTCATTCGAAGGGGACCGGAGGGAGAGGTCGCTGAATGCTGACAGGGAAGAGACGGCAAACGGACAGTCACATGGACCCTGGCTCAGGAGACGCGAACAACTCGGAGAACAAGGTGTTTCTGTGGTCAGGGACTGAACCGCAGTGTACCTCACCACTGATAATTCTGCATTTAGGTCATATCACTCGCTTCGAGAACAGGCTGTAAGAGGCCCTTTCTCAGGTATTTACCGTCCCAGGCCAACCGAGAACAAAACCCCAGGCAGATCACTCAAGACTCTCACCTAGAACGGGACAAGTCCTTCTGGACTGCCCCATTTCTCTACACATCACTTTTTTTTAATCTCAATTCTTTAGAGGCTTGTAGGCGACTTCAAAAGAACGAGTCGATCACACCTGTTGCGTTTTGCTTTTCACTTTTTTTAACTGCTTTTAACTTTGCACATTAAGTGTTCATTAACACCATCCGTATTTAAATTGGCTTATTTGTTACTGTTCACTTTCTTTGAACAACTGCTTTTACACTTGTGGCTGAGCGTCAAATAATTGAACTTCCAACCATCCATATCATCCACCCTAAAAAGCAGGCACTCCCAAACAAAACTGGGGAAAAGTCCTTACGCAGCTACGCAACCAGGCACGCAGCAGCTGTGACCGGCGGCCTTGTCCCCAAACAGACGTACGGGTCACGAGTATCACGCCTCGCCTCTGGGCAGGAGCGCAAGGCACCCCCGATCCATGGACCAGAAGGGGCAGCGGCATTTCCGAGAGCTCCGTGTGCGCTTTCCAGTTATTTTCTCCTTCCGCCTGTCAGCAGGGCCACCTTCCCAGCCACAGCGACTGCTTAAATCACCGCGAGCAGCCGTTGTACAGGTATTCCCTGACCCCAGGCTCTTTCATCTGACTTTTACTCTCACCAAGCAAAATAGCAGCAGAATATCCAGCTGTTCAGAGCATTGTTGGGTATTTCCTTTGTTTCATTCACATTTTCAGTAAAACACTTCAAAAAAACAACCAACCTGGGAAGATGGCTCTCCCGGAACAGCTATTGTTCACTACAGACACTGAAATAAAGTATTTTTTTGGCGTCTCGCTGCCCTCAAGGCCCTGGTGCCGTCAGCCGCACCTTAGTGCTTCTTGCTAGCGCCAAGAAGCCAGCGCAGGGAAGCGATAAGCTTTGGGGGAGCGACAAGACCTTTCTCGCCAGAATCACTGGCGAGCGGTGTACGAGCGTAGGGGGAGAGCAGCAGGTGCAAGAACATTTTTATTTATTTTTTACATGGCACTAGAGAATGGGAAAACTTACCTGCTCAAAGCTGGTAGCTGCCTCCGGGCTCATTTTTAGCGGACCCGTGACCTGGCAGGAGTAGCAGCGCTTATCTGCGTTAGAACAACTCAAGGGTTGATCAGCCGACGCCGTTGCTGTTTGCTCTCGGGAGGTCGCTGTCAGAAGTGGCGGATTTCTGTAAGGAAACGGCCGTTCCCTCACCCACACTGGGAGCTGGCGCAGCTGCGCGCACCCCAGCCCCTCAAGCGAACGTTGGTTTTTAAGCAAACCCTTGGCGCTACGGTCGTCCGTGTCAAAACGTGGTGAGATTTCCCAGCTGCAGCTCTGAAACGCACGAGAGCAAAGACAGGCCCCTCGGAGCCGACCACGCGCCTCCTCGTGCAGCGGTGACGGGTGGCCCAAGCAGGGGCCGGAACAACCACCCCTCCAGCCCGCTAACTTTCTGATGGAGCGGAGAGAGGAGAAAGCGGCCTGTGGAGGTTCGTGCGGTGCCTGCACCACTGGGGTACTACGATATCCCTACGAGTTCCCGAAGCAGGCCCAGCCACCCAGGTTTCTACCACCCTTGCTTCAAAAGCCGTTGCTTGGTGAGCAAAAGGCTGGGAAGAGAAGGACCAAGGAAGGACCGACCGCTCGCAGGGAAGGCGAGTGGCACTGAGGAGAGAGGAGGCGACTGCCAGTCTCCTGGCAGCACTGACCACACACGCTTCCCAACGGAGAGCGCCGAGCTGCTCAAACCGTGCGGCTTCCCCTTTCGGGGGCTGCCGCCCCAGCAGGGTCCCGGGGGCAGGTCCTGAGGCCAGCTGAGCGCCCTTGCCCTCCGGCGTCTGTCAGGAGAGCGGCGCGAGGCAAGGCGGCTGCGCTGCGCGGGACAGAGGGGCAGCATAGCAACGGATTATTGAAAAAGAAGTACTATCCAGATTAACCTTTAATCCAACGAACACAAGCATGCGAAAGGACAAGCCGTTACGAGTTTCTAGTGCCAGCCAGCCTCTGCAGCGTTGGCAGGGGTAGGAAGAAACAATCTCCGGAGCAGGCTTTCCCGTAACTCTGCACTGCAGCTTCTTACAACTTCACCTGACTCACTAGCTGCTGCCAGAACCTAAGTGCCTGGCTGGAGTCCTGCTCCGATGCCGTCGCTCAAATCCAGCCTCCCTGGCTCAGGGCAAGCACGCCGACCGCGCTTCGGTAAGGCAGGCAAGACCTAACCACGCTGACTCGAGCCACGACCGACTCAGGAAACACACCCCACCCCCCTCCGCTTTTGCTCCGCGTGCTTTTGCGATTGACGTCATAGCTGCGTTCAGATGCAGGGCTCACCCCCACGTTACATCTAGAGACATCTAGGCATCTCAGCCCCACTCGCTCGCTGAGGTGCCTCGGGTAACAGCTAGCCTCCCCCTCCACGGAGACTGGAGGGGCACACACCGTGAGGGAGCAAGTCAGAAACCAAAGCGGACTAAATGACACCGTGGGGCTCTCTCCACAGAGGATCGGCAGTCCCAGGACTCGGGCTCCTCGGCTAAGCCCCGTGTTACCTGCAGCAAATCAGGGGCCACGCTCCACCCCGGAGCTGCTGTGGCCCCGGGGAGCTCCTTGAAAGCCCTGCGGGCCAACCCACCGGAGGCTTTGGCTTGGAGGAGAGCGGGCCTCCCCGCCGCCAGCCATGCGGAGCCTCTGTGGCAGCCCAGGCCCCGCTTCAGATTTTCTCTGTCCCCACAAGAGACGCGGGATACGGGGCACAGCAGCACTCCCCTCCGGCTGGTGCTGGCAGAGCTGTCCCGGCGCCGCGGCGTTGTGCGAGGACGTCAAGAACTCCCTGAGCCCAGAGCAGCAGTCACCCTGCCATTGGCATTCTCCTCTTCAAATGCTAATCCGTCAAAGACCAACAGTCCCAGGTCACCTCTCTACAGCTCTAACTTACCCAGTGGGTTAAAAATTAATAAAAACCTAACCTCCTCGAATCAAAGTAATGAGTAATGTCAGAAACAGCCTTTCGCAGGCTCCATTCTTCATCGATCCTTCTTTACTGATCTTTCTCACGCACGCACATGCACATTTTCCATTCTTTTTCCAGCCACGCTGCGTGTTTATACCAACAGAAGTGACTGGCGGAAAATAATTCAGCTGTAGAATTAAAGCAAGGGGAGATGAAGGACCACACAAACAGACCAATAGGTAAATGTCAGTTCTCATATTTAATATTTTAATAATTTTGTTTGCAACATTTACCACATAAATCATCTAAATAAATAGATGCTGTACAGTCTCTTATCCATATCAGTACAAAAATAAAACCACACTTTGTGTCAAATTATACTTGAGCCTGCCCTCCCTTTGCTATTACAATCTCCTTTTACCGCACATACTCGCTCAGAAAAGGCAATATACTCCGATTGGTTTGTTTGGAATTGGTTTACTCCCTATTTCCCCCCCTCCCCAAATACATTCAATTAGTCTGTACAAAAGCTAGAAGCTCATCCTGTGCAAAAGGAAGCTTTCGGTGTGCAAAGACTCAGATACTCTAGCGTGCTGACAGGAACAACAGCAACAACTGAAGAGACAAGAACAAAAATAATCGGGGACCCTCCCCTCTGACTGACCCCATCCCCCATCTTCCCCCCCAACAGAAAGGAACCGTACCAAATTGCATGAGTCAGTGTGCAAAAGAGTCCGAACGACGTGCGTACGTACGCTGAGGGAAAAGGTTGGTGCTGAAAACCCAGGGACAGAACTGGGGTTCCCCCAGCTGTAGAGCTTGCTAGGTGAGGAAAAAAAAGATTCTCTCATCTTAGCCTGCTCAAAAGGTTCTTGAGATACGCAGAACAAAAGCTTTATCTAAATGATTTTAGTTCTTTTGTTGCCGTTCTGTGGGAGTGAGGAAACGGCCTCTGGAAAAATCCAGCAGCTACTGAAGACGGCTCCTGGTTCACCCTCCCTTCCTCTCCCCACTCCCTGTGGACAGACAGATATCTCCCCATTCCTCAACTAAGCTAATAAGGTGCAATTTTTCAGACGGGAAACTCTATAAAGATGTCTCCAGAGCTGGAAGAAGCGGTCGTAGTTCCAGACTAGGACCGCTCAAACTGAAACTCAACTTCGTTTTTCCCTTTCCCGGGACAAGGGAGGTGGGGAGGGAGGAAGCCAACCTGCGCCCTGAAGGCGAGCGAGGGACCGTGCAGGTCTCCTCTCCTCCCTGAGGGAGCCCCCCGCTACTTGGCACGGTGGGGCACGCTCCCCCTTCAGCCCTGGGAGGGAGGCGAAGGGCTGGGTGGCAGCTCTGGAGAAATGATCAGGAGCAGCCAGCGGCCTGAAACAGATACATCTTCTGCTTTTCAAACGCCACTTTTAGACAGACGATAAGGAGTACTTAGCACTCCTAGTGCTTTGCATTTCCAAAGTGCTTCAAAACATACTTCAGATTTAAAAGCAAAAAAAAGCTGCTTAACATTTTGACAGATTTGCAACAAGCTTCTTTGTGCTGACACTACATTTTCTGGTTAAAAAATAATAATAATATAAAAGGCTTTCCACCTCCTCCTCTTCCAAAATCCCCCTCCCAGTCAAAACTCTGCTACCCCAGTAACGAGATAAGCTGCGGTAGAGGTTCCCAACGGTCTTACGAGCTCTCCCTTTCAACATCCGACTGGCACTCTCAGACAAGAACCCCTAGCGTCTTTGCGGAGAGCCCACAGCAGATGGAAACAATCTCAGCAGCAAAGCTTCTACCCCATCCCAACTTGGCAGCAATCCGCCTCCCCCCTATCAGCCATTACGTGCTCCCACTGAGCTCTGGTCCTCTCTCCGGCTCCCAGTTAACTAGGGATCATCTCCCACCTGCTCCGTGCTAAGCCACTGTACTTTAAGAAATTAAGGAGGCAAGGGAAGGAGAGGTGGAAGAGAAAAAAAGGAGTCATCACTCCAGGAAGTGCTGGTTACAGGAAAGGATTTGAAGGGTCTGAATTCAATTTTAAGTGACTGCTGCTCTCTCCTTCCAACTGCCCTGGGGCTGTTTTGTGGGCCTTCCCATCGGGACCAGCTGCTTGGGCGGAATCCAGGTGGTTCAGCACCCAGAAGGTTCACGCTTTCTCTGCGAGGACACTAAGTTCAGCAGGCAGAGGACAACATGATCTTTACCATGCTCTTGGAGGAAACTGTTTTACGACAAGCATGGCAAAAGCGACAGGTTCCCTTTACCTGTATGTGCCAATGCTATACATTCCCATGTAGAAACTACCCTACACAAGCTGTTAACATACGCATCTCCCTTGCTTTCCCAAACGGTAAAAGATGGATACGTAAATGCAGCACTGACCATCTTCTCTCCGCAGGGCCCACTCAGAACCCCGAGGGGCATCCACCCACTGATGCAAGGGATCAGCTTCACTACAAGTTCTTTGCGCTTCTAACGTGCCTTCTCTCTCAACGGCCGGCTCACCCGAAGGCCTGTCCTCAACCGCCTAGCAAGAGCAAC